AATTGTTGAAACCTATTTAAATCTTAACCTATTTAAAGAGTATCTTTCTCTTGTAACTATTAAAAGTGTGTTCATTTCCCCCCACTTGTATTTGTTCAATTTCAATACTTCTATTTCAAAACGTTTACTCCTCTGGTCCTTTGAACTATTTTATCATTACCCTTTGTCATTTGATTCTCTGTTCTTAATTATTATAAATAACTAAGACATTTATTTAAATATATATAAATTGTTTTATTTAATTTAAATAATTATTTTATTTAAATAACATTTTTGTATATGAAATAAATAAATAAAATAAATTTTGACCGTATTGGTTTTTCCCATTTTTGACCCTAAAAACTTAAAATTTTGCAATTTCTTTCCAAACCATTTTGTAGATCTTAAAAAAACAAATAATTTAGTATATCGAAGCGTTATTATGCGCCTAGTGGTTACAGAGAAAATTCCAAAAAACTATAAATTTAAAATTTTCATGTTCTTCTTATGGAGATTAAATAAACTGTTGTGTTTGATTGTTTATGAACATATTTTGATAAAATTTGGAAAATGCATTCATTTCATACTAAACTATTAACATAAAAAAACCTTTTTACTCTCCCTGTTGCAGCAAGCCTAAGTACTCGTTAAACTAATGCTATTTAAATAGGGAATAAATGTGATATATTTAAGGAGACATTTTAGTGTAAATCCAATCAGGCAAAAGGAAATTCGCACAGTCTGCAGGTTTGCTGCGGCGGGGGTATTATTATTATGCCGTGTGAATTAATAGTCCTTTTAAAAATACAACCATAGATTAAAAGAAGTACAAGAGTGTGTGATATGAAAGACTTTAGCGGGCACTAACCACGATAGCAAGAGAAGACAGGTTCACATAGCCATGTATCAAACGCTTGTGTTTTGTTCATATTTAAAATAAAGACTTATCGGTGGACGAGACTTTGAAAAAAAAACCACAAAGAATAGATATACTTAGAAATATATTATAAAAGTTTAAACTTATTTTAAAGCTTTAATTTGGGTACTTTAATTTCTACTTGTACAAACTCATTAACCAAAATATAAAAATCGCACCTTTAAACTCGCTTTCAAGAGTAATACTACTGTAATGTCAAACCCCTTTTTGTGTAAAACTGAATTTTGTCTTAAGTATTTTACATTAGACTATAAGGGATCTTCTGACGTTGCAAAACGAAAAAAGTTTTTGAATAGTTACCACTTAAAAACACTGTAGCTATTTCACTATTTTATACCTTTTACGTTGTAATAAACATGCTCTTTTAACATTCATTAACCGCTAAGCTAAAAAGAAAATTACGAATGAAACATTCAAATGTCATAAAACAGTGACAACAATGAATTGCGTTGTTACCTCAATGGCAAAGTTACACTTACCTCTGTCGTTGACAAACGTAGAAATGGGAGAGCGAGCATTTATTGGGCTGTTATAGTAAATGTTATTGTAAGCCGAGTCGGGAAAGTGGTTTTGACACGCAGTGTTTGCACAAAAGTTAGACATTCTCTGGAATCGAATTTAAAGAAGGTTTTCTAGTTTGTTAATAAAAAATCATGTTCTGTATTTTTAAGTTTAATGCGCAGCACCCAAAGAGTAATACTTTAATACTTTTCGATGAAATGGCGACCATACAAAGTAGTTATTTTAAGCCAAGTATGAGTGGAGATGAGTGTAGGATGAGTGGCACGATCTTGTAGTCTTGTTAGTGACTAAGGCCCACATTCCTTAGACACAGCTGTTAATTAATAGCCCATACAGCTAATGGCAACTAAGGAACCTACAGTTTGTACTATAATCCGAACCACATTCGAATTAGTCTAATTATCAAGATAGTACTGCGGATAGTCGTGCTACTCACAAGTGTGGAAGTTAATTCACATATAATATGTATGTTGTATACCAAATCCATTAATTTAATACCTCGAGAACTTACAAAAATTATCTTTTTCATAGCTAAATTCGAATCATAAAATTTCAACTAGGACCTTATGTTAAGGGGAGATAAATTTAGAAAGTTTGGGCCATGGAAAGGGTTTTTTGGGGGCTTGAAAGTTTATAAAAATGTTTTTTTGGCCTTACAACGTGGAAAATCTCCAATTGTTCAATGACCATCATGTAGACCTTAACAAAACAAAGAATCTTACATATTGAAGCGTGGTTGTACAATTAAAGATAGCGAAGAAAATTCCAAGAGACTGTACATTAAAAATTATCATATTATTCTTATGGATGAAAATGAAACAATTGTAGATACTTGTTTATGGGATATATATGTTGATGTAATTTGGCGAAATTATTTATTTCATCCTATACTTTGAGCATTTGGTTAAAAACACTTGACCAAAAATACACGATGGGGGTATTGGTTTATAAATCTGTACCTAACGAATCCAAGTAGGATATAAGTAACCTTATGGGTAACCTTATTAAGAGTTGACCACTCATTATGGATGAAAACTAGACTATCTGACCCTTCACCAATGTTGCTTGCGTTCTACAAAGTGCATAAATCATAGGGTGATTTATGTTGAACGTGTTACAGCTAAGTAGCATAGAAGCATAGAGTCATTGCAATCAGATTCAGCAGTCGTTTGCAGGACGCATGATTTAAATCTTCATTACTGCAGTATTACCTACTGAACGTAGCATACATGGATTAAGGATGCTTTCAATCTCATAGGCCTTACAATCAAATACAGTTCCCTAGCAGCTGTGATAGACAGTTGCTCTGCTCTTGCATGTTGTAAGGTTGCTCATCAAACATTCGTAATCAAGAGTTATAACAGATGATAACAGATGATGTACCGAGAAAGCTTATGCTTTATTTTTTAAGCGACGTTTGTTTTAATTGAAACGCTGTTTACTGCAACCTCAATCGAGGTTAGTGGATGTACAAATACAAATTGTATAATAAATAGTGTTCTTATGTTTGTATGGATGATTAAGTTCAAGGAAAACTTTGAAAAGGTAAAATTTAGTTCAATTAAATAAAAAAAATACCCTCGCCGCAGCAAACCTGCAGACTAAACGAATTGCCATTTACCTGGCTGGATTTCTACTAAAATATTCCCTAAAAAATGTCAGATTTATTTCCTATCTAATGACATTAATTTTAGTGAGTACTAAGGTTTGCTGCTAAAGAAAAGATATTGAGATGTGTTTTTTTTTTGCAATGTCGATAGCTTAGTATTAAATAAAAAGAATTTCCGAATTTGGTTTTAAATATATCCATAAACAATCCCACTACAACAGTTGATTTATTCTACATAAGAATAACATGGTTAATTTTAAATTTACAATTTTTTAAATTATCTCCGTAACCGTTAGGCATACAACAACCCTTCAACATACAAAATTATTTCTTCTTTTAAGCTGTACAAAATGGTTTGGAGAGAAATTGTGAAATTTTGTTTTGGGGGAAAAAATGGGGAAAATCTGTTTTAACCCCATAAACCCCCGTTCCCATAGTCTGATTATGCTGGTTCGCGAACTAGTTCAAATAGATAGATGTAGGTTTACACGCTTGTACAAAATTTCATCAACATTTGTTCATTTTTGCTATGGTTATCGTGCTAACGGACACATACACACACACAAACACACATATATATGTGGAATTGAACGGATGAGGTTTTTGTCCTCTTGGGACCTTAAAATGAAAAATAAATCGGTCCCAGTTCTAGGTCTTACCATGAGACCTGCGGTAATAGTTTATTCCCTATATGGGAAATTCGCAGGAAAATTGATGGTTAACATTGCACAATTAGCTGGCTATGTTACTTTTAATAGGGTTATACAGTCATTAATACGAGGATCTTTTAATGTGAACATCTATAAGTTGTATTAAAAGGTATAGCGCCAAACATGCCGTGTTGGTGTATTTCTATGGTAAATTTGATTTTAGCATAGAACTTTTAACATGTTGTAAAATCTCTAATGAATTTTGTGTCTCTTGCAGTTGTGCAATTATAAAAATTGAAGTCTAAAAAACCAAAAAGTAAAACAACATAAGTGCGAAAATAAAGAAATATACATTTAAATAGGTACTTCTTCTCATGCTGGGATGAAGATGATGTTCTCTAAACGTATATAAGTAAAAAAAAAAACAATTAAAATTGTTTAACTATCCTATGTCTTCTGCAATACTTTGATTTCAAACTTCTAAAATTTTGACCAACTATTTTAATTTACGTTTTTTTTGTTTTTTCTTTTTTTTGTATTTCACTCCCATTTTAAATCCAAACAATAAGTTTTTTTGAGTTTTTTTTTATTTACCAGACAATATTATTAAAGGAAAACCTATTAAATTTGTCATTTGTCTTGCAAAAATGGGTACTTTCCTGTTAAAGGGAACATTCATTATTATCGATTATTTTTTTGATATATCGATATTTTTGTTTTCCGATCCATTACAAATTGACAACAACTAACTACTGATCTTGTTTAGGCTAAAACAGTCTATTATATGGATTAAGAAATGAAACTGTTCTAAGCTAACCGTTTGATAACAGAAAAGGCAAGTTAAACACGGAATTTTTAAATGTTACAGCAAGTTTGGTTAGTTATGTTAGGTTATTTTTTTAGAACAGTTTCATTTTAATATTGTTTGTTGATACTGAACAATATTTATCGTAGTTGTCAGCTGATATGGTTCAATTTGTTAATATCGATATATCGAGAAAAAACCATCGATAATAATGAGTGTTCCCTTTAACAGGAAAGTACCCAAAAATGTTAACGAGGAAAAGTTGATACATTTCACCTTGGTGAAGTATTTGGTGCTTTTGTATAGCCAAGAATTATCTTCACGTGTCATACTTGTTTTGTTATGTTCACAGAACTGTGGTATTTGCAAATGCATGTTATATGCTTTCAGACAAACGCTTTTAATTAATACAACAGTGTGTAAATGGTAGTTTTGTTTCTAAAGCTAACGCGAAGGCATTGTTTTTATTGAACTCTGCATGTACTTAAACTCGGTAATTTTTACAGATGTTCACTTTTCCAAGATGATTTCAATCGCTCTTTTCGTTGTCGCTACCATCGTTGTCTGCTCGGCGGACATCCCTACCATTGGACCATGTGATGTTAACGTACAAACCCAGACTGACTTTGACTTTGAAAGGGTATGTTATTTTCAATTCAAATATGTTTATATTAGTCAGTACAGTAGTTATTATTTCCACGATTTGGTAAAGCCACTATGTTTTATTTTAAAATATGTGTGTATGATACCCGTTATTTTAAAGACTAAACTAGAAGCTTTATAAATATGACCTGACAAATTATTAAAATGTTTACTGTAGTCTTTTTACTCAAATTCTACTCTCATAAACTTTGTACATGATCATCTTAGACGTAAATACACGGTGTGTATTTCAAACCTTGTCAAAAAATGTCAATACTCAGTATAGGTTTCTAATAAATAGCTTATTTTTTGCAATAGTGTTAAAATATGTTTTCATTTACATTTTACTTCTAACAGTTGTTCAATTAGTTTTAAATATTTACTTGTAAAATTTTTTATGTTTACTTACAGATTGTGATTTAATAAAAATCTACTTTCTATTTTCTCTTACAAAATGTGAACCTTTATTAGTAAAATTAGTAATACCAACATATAGCATACATATTTTCCCCATTTATTTATCCGTTGTTAAGATTTTTTTATACAAACAACAATATTTTTGAATTAAATTAAATTATTATAAAGGCAATAAAAATAGTGTTGGTAATTATTTTAGGTAACGTTTGAAATAACACTTACGTAGACAGGATGAATCGTAAACCATATAAAAATGGCACCAAATATTAAACAGTTTGATTTAGCATGCCAATTATCTTTGGATATTTTTTTTCTCATCTTTATCAACTTGTATGATTTAAGAGTAACCTTATCTTGGAAAGTACTTGTAGACCTTAGTCATGATCCATGGCCTGTACAACGTAGTAATAAAACTAAAATAAAACTAGATCTTGTGGCGTTTGTTAAAGTAGATTAAGTAGTGTAATCTTAGGTACTTACTGTAAGAACAAATAGTCATACAACCATTAAATAGCAACTTCACAATTAGGTTTCACAATCACTGAATAATTGATAATGTTGATTATTCCTTTAAAGCTCTGAAATCTATTTCATAACAAATATGTTTTACCTACAGTAAAACAAACAGCCCATATACTGATTTCTTATAAAATATCATGTTTTAGTTCCACAAGGAAAAAGGGGGTAGCTGGAAAGTGGTTTATGGTCCTGCCACAAAGTTTAATGAAAATCTTAGCTCGTTGTCTATAAAAATAACCCCCGCCAAGGACGGCCAATACAGAGATATTATTACATATAAAGCGTAAGTATCTAAATGTCAATATTAGAATAAGTTCAGACGAAATAATAGTCAAAATTCATGTTTCTGATCCCCTGGACTATTTTATTAAGGCAATAATAGGTTTTAAAGTAACTCCGTTGAATAGCCCAATGATAAAGCTTGCTTACAACATTCGCAAAGCTTGCAACTCGTCAAGAACACAATTAAAACAAAGTACCTGGGGACCGAATCATAGCTCGGAACAGTTTATTTCAATTGTAAAAGCAATACAAAGGAAACCTACGTTTCATTTCCAACTAATTTAGGCTTTAATCATTTAAGTTTCAATGGAATTCCAATTTATTATGATAGAAACTTTGACCTGGCAATCCACCCCACAAAGTCTTTTGTTTATTTTTCTTGTTATTCTTTAAAGCAACAAGGTTACTTGGTAAATCATAAGACCAATGTTAAAATATATTGACTTTCATTTTAACTTGTTTATGTAAAAAGATTTTTGTGACAGTTTTCACTGCATTATACACGTTTTTATTCAAGAAATAAATTTCAAGGAATTTGTCAAAGACGTTTTTGAGATCTTTGTGCAAGCAAGCAAGCATACAAGCATACATAAAAGCAAATATTGCTCATATATGAGTATATAGGATACGAAAACAACATATAAAACATACATACATAACATAAATACATATTAACACAAACATGAGTATGATAGAACTATCTAAATGTTTCTGTACGAAACATGCAAGCTTTAGCAGTCTTTATCATTGGGCTATTTGACAGATTTACGTAAAAACCTATTAATTTCAAAATAATAGTGAATTATAAAACGGTTCGAAAACAGTTAAATAAATATGAATTGATTTACAGTAATTAAATTTTTATGTTGTAACAAAAAAATTTAAAACCTAATTATTTAAAAAGTGGACATTAAAAAAGGCCAAAATAGTTAATGGAAGTACGAAAGATATTTTATTCAATCTGCAGACAGAGAAATGCAAATATAAATAATAATGTTAGTGAAACTTATGGTAAGTAAGAAAGAGAGATTAATAGTTTCTTGAAACTGTACTGTTAAGCTTAACATTTTGTTACCATACAGTTGTCAGGATTGAGCAGAAACATTAACATTTTGGCCAAATGCGGGAAAGTAAAACTTTGCACAATAGTTACGCAAATAACTTTTAAGAAATGTAGTAACTGTGCAATTTATATGTGTTGTACTTTTAATGTGAGTTACCTTGCAAATCGTTGTGAAGCTAAGATTATGTATTGTATTATGGAGTGTATTTATACATCAGCTTTTACTACTTTTACTATTGTTGTTTGGAAGAAAATTGACTAGATTTTTTCGAGAAAAAATACTTTGAACATATTTTTGACTCATTTGTAATATTTTTTTCAATTGAAGGAAGGACGGGACGAGTGGACAGTTGGCTGATGAAATTGTAACCAACAATGGTCACGGAACCTGCACTGCCACTACAACTAGTATGTTTTGGTTAAACAATTATACAGCGAACCTAATATTTATTTATTTTATTACTAACTTTTGACTAACTTCTTGACTAAACTCACTTTTATGCTATTTTTTTCTTACTTGGATAACTTTTTAAAGGTTTTTGTGAACATTTTACTCTTTATTATTGAACTTTTCTCTCTTCCATCTATTTTAAACGTATTACCAGTTTATTTGTAGTTATAATATACTTAACATAGGTTATTAATACATTAAGTTGATTACATTTTTGCTCTGTTTTACTATACAAGCCTACAAATATTTTTAAAATTTTTTATTTTGTAAAAATTCAATGCTCACATCAAATCTAGCATGAAGACGAAAGTGGATTTTTTCAGTTTTAAGTGTTTAATTTATTATTGAAAAAATGAACTAGTTAAAAGGAAGACATTATTGGTGCTTTTAGTGGTAAATTTCTAATGGCCAAGCATAGCTAATTAGCGATTTAGGAAATAGTTGCCTTAATACAAAAATTATTAAGTAATAATAACAATTTAAACAAAAAAGGATTTCCTGATTAATCAACGCATTGCCTTCATCTTTTTAATTTATTTAAATCTAGGTAAATTTGTGGGAATTTAGATCAGTTTTGTTGTTTTTGCTATTTAGTTATTAATTGGTCCAATGACCGTTGGAGTAAAAACGCATTTTGGAAATGGAAAAAAATTGAACAAAATATATATTTCATATCTTTTTAAGTAAAATTTATAGCCGAATTATAACAAAAACTTTATCGTGAATTGAAATTTGTACTTCAATAAGGAAAATGAAAATCCCCTTTTTATAAAACTAATATTGTATACTTTTTTATGTTTAACTTTTAGCCAACGAAGTCTACAAAGTCAACGTAATCAAGTATGTCCCAGGAAGATATGCATTCTATTACATCTGCAGCAAAGAAGGAAGTAAGTAGTTTTTCTCACTATATCAACGAATTTATAATAACAATAATACAATTTAAGATATGTTGAATGGTTAAAAATGACAATATGTTTGACAATTACATCACATTAGTTCCTATCCATAGTGATTTCTTTATGCTTGGGACATTTGTTTTACCAGTATTACAATGGTGCTAACTATGACCAACTGTTTATTGTATATGTTAAACTAAATATTTTTATATGTGTAGGTGACCAGGCGATAGACTATAGATACGTGTTGGCTCATGGACCACTGACATCAGCTGAAAAATCAGCTGTCTTGGCTATTGACAAGGAGTATGGCTTCCAAGGCAAATTTATTCCTTTCGGAAAAAATAAGTAGAGGAATTGTATTTAGAAAGAAATAAAACAATGATGAACGAGCAGATTTCATTATATAGTTAATTAAATACCCAATCTGAAACCATAATCTATTTCTTTTTCTATTATATTTATCATATATACAATGAATGTAATAGATATTACTCATATTTAATTGCCTGTGATAACCAATAATGCAATAATTATGTAATGGTTGCGATACATTACATAAATTATGCTTTATAACACAAATATTATATATCAATCAAGTAAGGTGAAATTTAATTTCGGAAAGTTTATTGTTCGACAAATCATGTTACTAAAAATGCATAGCTCTTTATTAATTGTTATAATTATTAATAGACTCTATACTTGGTATTATATTACTTTTCAGAATCTGTTTGCCCAATCTTTTTCCTATTAAAGAGGCTATGTTAAGATTGAGAACAAGGTTATAAAATTACGATATTAAAACAAACTTTCAAGAAATAAACAATATCTATTGATTAAAACGTCGTAATCATTGTTTGTATGTTAAAATATTTTAGCAGATCTAAGTACGATAATTTATGTTCTTAAAGTTTGCGATATGAATTTGAATTTCATTAAATAACTATCTAGTTGTCAATGTCTATCTAATTTAAAGTGTATGCTAGTTAATGTAATTGGTTTAGTGGGTAAAAGTGTGCAATAATTGGAAGATAATATAATATTATTTCAATTGCCCTTGTTTGAGTACTGACTAATAATTCGGCTGCACATTCGAGTAGGTATATTACTAAGATATACTTATAAGTGGTAAATCAGTATAAATGGCTATAGTTTCTAAGCAATGCTCTGGAAAAATACTCATACAAAGAATCACATTTTTACAATTGAGAGGTTATTATATAATATTACCACATGAAACAATTATTGAGATTCACTATAATTAGTAACAAAAACTAGTTACTTAAATAATTACAATTTGATAGTTATCGAACTTTATTGCCCTCCAAAGTTAACGAAAGAGGATGGATTCTGCTGTAAAAATAAGCATGTAAAACAATAAAGCATTTTTTTTGTTTTGTTTAAACCAAATCTTATAAGGGAGTTGCTGGCCAAAGAAACTCCGTAAACAACTGATATTTACGGAAAGGCTATTAAAGAGCTGATTATAAAACAAAAATATTATTTGCAATGTTACATATCATATATCGCCCATTCACTTCATTCATTCATTTTAGTTGAATAATTCTACTTCTTTTATTGTACCAAAATTCGCCATATAGCCTATTTAAATAAATTGTGAGAAAATTTATAATAAATTTGAATTATATTATCCTTTAATCACCCCTTTAGAAATCATCATCACATTTTAAAATATATTGTATACATATATTCAACAAATATTATCGTTAATAAAAACCTGTAACCTGTAATTAAGTCCATAGTTGCAAAAACACTTTTATCCAAAATTATTAACATAGTATAAATTATTTCTAAAACCCCAATGTTGATTATATCCAAAAGCCTGATTATAAGTGCATGTGCAAGTGATGAAGAAAGAAGACAGCTGGCTTCAACAATGAACTTTGATCATCCTGTGTGAAATTAAAATTTTCCTCGTTCTCTATTGGGACATGGCAGCTTCAACACCTTAAATTCAGTGAGGGTATAATCCCTAACATTTAAAAAGTCAAAGTGATGAAAATTATTTAACTTAACACTAACTTAACAACAGAATAACAGAGTAGCTTCTATAAATATATTTTATTTAATTTTTTTTCTTTGTACTGCCACCTCAAGATTTATATTATTTGGACACTGTTACTGAAGAACCAATCTGGTGAGAACTCTCCATTTTGTGACTATAAGGCTTAGCCTAATTTCAAGAAATTTAACTTAATACAGACCCATTTTATTTACTTTATGATCGAACCTAATTATTTGAATTCAAAAACTACTTTATTTTCATCAAGAATAACTATTCCAGAAAACCAATTTGAACAAGAGAACTAAATTCAACTTTGATAAAATCTTCACCTATTCTATTCATTGTTGGGCGATTTTTAAAAAAATTAAAATATTTAAAGATCTTTTTAGCCAGCCGAGTTCCCCTCCCTGAGAAGATTTATGTAATTAAACTTATATCTTATTGTAAACTCATTGTTCTGTTTTACTAAGCTAGGCTAAACCAAAGATCGCAACCCGTATTTGTTCATTTAAATATCAAACCCCATTCATTGTAATATCCTATTCTTAGTTCATTAAATTTATATTATAAAGAAATCCTTCAGCTTAATCATTTGTCTTTCTTTAAGTAGCCTATATTTAATCTAGGCTTAGAGCTAAATAAGTTAGTAAGTAAAGGTACAAATCTGAACCAAGTTGTATTAGTCCAAATTATAAGCACTAACAATAACAAATTTTGTAAAACACATTGAACCAATTGGGTAGTGATAAATCATTATAAACACGAATAGTGTTTTCTTTTATATTGAAAATCATGGTAAGAAAGTTTAAATAAAAAAGTAGAAGTATGAAGCTTTTTAATTCTGATTATTACAATAAGCTACATGTCACACTGAAAATATGTTACTTTCTTAAGTATGTTAAAATTAATTTTCAAATAATATGTAGTCGTGTCGTTTTCCATCTACATAATGCCCATTCAAACACATCACATCACGCAGGTACTAGGTAACGTCCATTGCTAACACGTTCATGTGGTTGTCGAGTGTCTTATGCATTTATATTGCTGCTGAGAGTATAGCTTATATTGAATTAACAGCTACTTACCTTTAACAAGTTACCTATCTATAATAGTTTTTTATTGATTCTAATAATAAAGTAAATAAAGGTAAATTCATAAGGACTTTTCATGAAATGTTTTCTTTGAGGTTTAAATAATGTAATACGTGTTGTCATGAAGGTAAAATGTTTTCTAGGTTACTTTATACAAAACCTTGGTTACATTTAGGAAACGGAATTAAATTAAAACCCGATCGTAAGAATGAATAAACTTTCTTTTAACAATTTAACTATAGACTTTAACCATAATCTATTTGAAAACTCCTTGGTATATAGAACGTCTAGCACGTTTTGAATATACAAAATCGTTTTTGTATAAAGAGTAGTTATGGTTATGATAGCAATGCCACTATTTTTGCTGTAAGATTCTCTGGAATGATCTTGGACAAATTGAAGTCGCACAAAGGTTACACTTACTATGTAATTAAATCTTTAGTTAGGTATTGTTATTTTTAACTCAACAACAGAAATAAGCAGTTTACTTAAACATAGTATTTATGTGTAGGCCTACCACGTATCTGGAGCATTTTATTTACGAGATAGACGGGCAATTATAGCTATTGTAGCGGTTGACATACGGGATGAGGAAGATAACAAATAGTAAAATAATCTATCTCTGGAACAGAAAAATAACTAAAGGGGAGTCAGAGTGTCAGCTTCCTGAAGGTGTTATTGCTTTCATATTTCAGCCCTAGTTCAGTTCACACTAACCTTCAATGACATTTCCTCTAATACAAGTCATTTATCAAACATAAGTGTTTCCCTTTGGTGAAACAGCTTATGACGTTCTCGTAATTTGCAATAGTAGGTGAAAACCCAAAACTACGCTTGACAATGGACTTAACATATGTGAGATACCAATGATACGTTAAGCATTGAATTCATGGTCCAACTACGTTGAAAAGTGGTAAAAATTTAATTTGTAAACTCCTATGAAATAATGATAAAAACAAATGAGAACAACAATAGGCTAATCCAAAGGCTAATACGTTGTTGCCAACGTAATCATTGGTAGTATTAATGGCTATCGGTTTCTACGTCATTGTCAAGCCTAGACGTGTTTGGCACACCCTGAATCCGCAGCCGCGCCGAGAGTTGTATGGCGATACAGTATTAAAAATGTTTGTTTTTGTCATATATGCGTCTCATTTAAGTGTTTTGAAGACTTTATGACGACCTCCTAGGAATGATAACCATGGCTAGGCTTGACAATGTAAAAAACTAACAACTCTTATGACTTGATAAGAGTACTGAAGAGTCATTAGATCTAGCCACACAAAAGCACCACCAATTTTTAATTTGATCTTTAATTAATTAAATTAATTATTTGATTTTTAATTAGGATCGGCTGTGTTGTATTGCTGGTTAAAAAAATAATGTTATGGCATAAGAAATTCAAGAGAGACTCGCTTGAGGAAATAGATGCCATTTTAGGTTGCAAACGATTTTCAAATCTAAATATGTTGTCTGAGCTGCAAACAGAATTAGCGTGTTTGCAAGATGTTATTACCAAATATTCAGAATATTTATAAGACGAGTTGTCATGTACGGCCCAGAAACATGTTACCAACATAATGAACATTTATTTTTAGTAACAGGATTGAGTGGAAGGTAGTTAATTTTTGTACCAATTCACCTATCATTTTCACGAAATTTAACTTTACTAAAGGTTATTATAAGCTGCACTTAAAGATAAGGCTTCACAAAAATCTGCGAGTTCTGTTACACCTTATGTGTCCTAAAAATAGCAAAAATAGTAGGTTGAGTAGAATAAACTGGCCATGACTGACCATGACCTTTCAAATGTAACATTGTATTAGACAGTAATTTATTTAAAATGATAAAGTGATATATCTTTTCTCCCTACATTATTCTTACAATACATTTTAAAATTATATCACCATAAATATTTACCAATATTCCATAAGGAAATAGATACGTGTAAACGTGTAATATTACATAAGAATATTTTATTTTTATTTTATACTAGCTGTGTGCCCGTTCTACGCACGGGGATCTTATCATAGTCAGTTAAAACCTTCTTATATAAAGCACAGCAGTTGGTTTGCATACTTTCAGATATGCTGACAAAACTATTCCTTCGCAAATACATTATCTGACAGTTTCAAGCCAAAACTAATGCTTCGCAATTAAATGTCACCAAGATCTTGTTGGTCCATATGTTATATCCAATGACTAAATAAACGGTATCAGCATTCTGACACATACTTTCTCCCATAAGTTTGTCAACAACCTTTATCATGTGTAAGCGGT